TGCGGACTCTTCAGTGGCTGAACAAGTTAAGCACAATGATTATGGGTAGCAAGGATGATGCGCAAGAACTTTATATTAAGAGGCAAGGAGAGTTCAAGATTACAATGAGACGAGAAAGGAGTGTACAAAGCGAAGCGAAAAACTTCAAGCAAAGTTGACATACTGCGTATGGTGACAAGAAGAAGAATAGTTAGATGAGTGAATGAATTAAGTTCAGGGACTTCAAACTAATGATGGATATAGGTGCTCAGGCCCATAACCCAGGGGAAGGTAATCGAAAGTTGCACAATACTTCAAATCAGAAAAAAATGTTTTGCTCAGAACACGCGGTATTAAGACAGAATGCGCTATTAAGGAAGTGTGGCAGATGAGCAGTATAGCCATACATCGAACCTTGTAAACTTTATCGTATGAAAGCGGCAGAGGATCTAAGATTAGAAGTGGATGACAAAAGAACTGGGAAATTAGTTTCGTGCTAGAAAGTATAAAAAGCCAGCAGCAATATGCCGACACACTGTACTGACGTTTCGCTACCAAGCGAGATCTGGATATACTGTGTCAACCACAACTACGCGGATTCGGACCGGTGACTTCCGGATTACGATGCAGGCGTAAAATCTTTTCGCCCATTGACTGACTAAAAACGCATAGGCAGATTTGTACTGAACTCTCGATTTTGATGGGAGTGATGCATTAGGATGTAAAGGTGAGGATGGAGCCCGGAATGGAGAACAAATTCGTTGGCATACTTTCGGTTGCATTTGGCGTGAGGCGGAAACTGGGGCAGGATGCAGCGGAGGAGGCATACTCGTGAAATCATCAGTATAGCCGTTGACTTCTAAAGCTTCGTCACTTTGTGCACAGGACCGCACGTCCAGTTCTGTCAGGTTTACGACTAGACGCGCGTTTGGCTCTTCGGAAACATGAGGAGATTCCGAACGTGTTGCTCCCCGGGATGGCAAATCATCGTCTACTATCGAGGAGGCAGACAGGTCATTTCCGCTATGCTCATCAGTGCTAGGTCTATTTGTTGGCGACTGACTGTCCTCAGTTGAAAGCCGTGTGGCATCGGCGGTATATTCAGCTTGAGTAGTGTGCTCGTCGGTAGCATCATAGTCCTCCTGAGTGAAACAAAGAAGAAGAAGGTAAAAGCAGTATCCAAGTAGTATAACTCAAAACGGGTGTAACCTGAAATAGGTGAGGAAATACGTCCTCGGCGATAAGATTTATACACACCCTACCTTATATTTATACAGAAAACGCATGAGTGGCAGATTGATACAAAACGTAGTACATACACACGCACAAGATTTGCCCTACTGGCAATAGAGAGGAGAGTACCACGGGTGTCGGCTTAAAGTCGATTTGTGCTATGTCGAAAGAGGTACTCGTTAGTGATTATTTAAAAAAGTGAGCACATGTATACTAAGAACTAGAAAAAACTCCGAGGAAGGTTGCAGTCCCAGGACACTCGTGCGCCAAACGAGGATGGGATTATGTGGACGCATTGGGTGAGGATGTAACTTGGAGAGCAAAAGAAGAATCAAAGGTGAATAAGGCGTGAGAAGTGAACCGTTGTTATGCCAGAAACTCTCACTGATCAATCAACCAAGTAGCTTACAGGGAATGAGAATGGTGCGATAAGTTCGCTTCTGTGAAAAAAATAAGTCAAGTATACAACGAATACAAGGGAGTGACCTGAGTTAGCCAGATCGGGGCGTCATTGCTGGGACGCTAGTTCGAGGCGGTCAGTTCCTAGGAACTGAGTCCTTGCGCAACTTGCTACTGGAAAAGCAGGTGAAATAATGTAAGCATGAGACGGTTGCACTTGTCTCATAAAATCCCTGCACCCCTATAGGGGCACGTGAGGGCCAGGCGCATGGATCCGTGAAGGTGAGCCAAACTAACCAAACGAAGCTATGGACAGAAAACCGCCAGACAAAGAGGAGTTCGGAAGGCGTTACGTGAAAACTGCTTAAAAACATGGCTATCTAATTGAGAGAGAGAAATGGTTGATGAAATAAAGAAAAAAAAACGCTTACATCACTGGCGGCATGGGTCGGTAGAACGTCCGTCGTTGGAGGAAGACAACGAAAAGACTCTTCCACAACGATATCAGATATTGTTTCCTGTTCATCGTAATAGTCCATTGGAGGAGGAGGTGCATTTAAAGAGACAGAAGTGTTGGGACAATCGGGTAGCGTCTCTGAAGAAATAACATTATACGCTGTTTCTTCCACTTCTTTTACATGACAATGATCGATATTGTTGATTGACTTGAGGTCTTCGTCATATCGGTATTCTTCAATTTGTCCTCTCCTATCGACGTTCCCGAAGAGAAAGCTCGAAAGTTTGTATTTTGGACCATCTTCAGAAGGAGATCCGGGTTCACTCATGACTAAAACGGGAAGTGAGACATCGTCATCATCCTGACGTCCGCACAGAACGGTTTCATGAAAAGCTGCTCTTGTATCGCCAACCTGCTGTTGACGCGGCACGAATGGTTGCGAGCGTTGAACCGGGGGAAGCCGATGTGTGTGAACAACATTTATTTCAGTAAAGGGTTCGATAAAGTGGACCAGGAGGTCGTTGTCAAAAAGGTGAGAAGGTGAGGTGTTGGTAGCTCACTGCACTACTGGATCAGTGACTTCCTTATTGTACGAAAATCGTGGGCACATGTGGGTGACTATCTAACGTACTGGTACCCTTCCAATGGTAGCATACCCGAAGACACAGTACTGGGGCGCATTTTACACCTGATTGATATCAATGAAGTACTTCAATTTCCTGTCGTATTGTGCTTTGTTTGCGGATGAACTGAAGAGATGGAGGATAGTTTATGCCCACGATGACTGCAACACTCATTAGCAGGACCTCGAGCGTCTATCTATGTGGTCTGTGGGAGTCGGTCTGCCGCTCTACCCAGTCAAATCATAATATATGAGCCTAGGGGTGGTGATTAGCACAAGCACATTTTGGATGGTCAAACGCTACACTCCACACCTTCCGTGAAGGATCCCGGCGTACTATCAAGCTGCAAGTTGAAGTCCGTCGACAATATGAATAAACTATATAAAAACGGACTGCGCATGCTTTGGGCGCTCAAACGCAGCTTCTGTAACTGGTCGGAAGACATTGCTAGTCGCCTCTTCCATTATAAGGCCCGATCACTCGTTACAGAGACTGAAAAGTTTTGAGCATGTAGCTACCAAACATATCCCAAATTTGTGGGGTGTCGTACGAAGACTGGTGCAGACGACCGCGGCAGTATACCCTATGGTATCGTCGATTTCGAGTGAGCCTCATAATGACGCACCGGATATCGCACCTGCGTCACATTCCCAGGTTGAGGCCACTAATACATGTGTTGGCACGAAGCAGCACTCGTGGACACCGGTACAAGCTCGCAGTGCTGGAGCTGAAACGTGTAGCTCATTATGTATGATTAAAGTGCAAAATATTGGGACAGTTCGCCCGAAACAATAATGGAGGAGAAAGCGGTGTTGGAATTCAACTAATTTCTAGATGCTCACTTTGCAGATTTTGTATTTAGGGAACGCATCAAGCCCGATTAGCAGATGGCACAGCTGTAATAGCTGCAAACGCGCAGGAACCAGCGATGTGATTCCGCGCACGTGCCCTATATAGCTAGGATGGAGCAGCACAGATGTGTATCTACTAGGTATATATTTTCAGTATTCACCAGCATTTTAATCATCATTGTCATTATCGAAACCAACAGTAGTGCATCAGCCATTTGAGCTGATGTTTTGCTGGGGTACAGAAACAATGAGCGTTGAAACGAAGATTAATGAGGGAGAGAAGGGGGACCTAGCGTAAGAGCTTAACACCCTAAACAAATATTTTAGGTTAAGGCGCCTACATCTTGCCAGCAACATATCATCACAAACAAATGGCTACCGAGCAAAAATAAGGCGGCATCGGCGAAAACGCTTCCTTATGAATTTCGCTGCCCCGCGTATGACGCGCAGATAACTCAGTATCAAACACTTTCAAAGGATAATCCGACTAAGAGACGGCATCAGACGCGCCACTGGTGTCGATTGTGAGCCGTGCCCTCTAACGTCTCGAGCCAAGTACAAGGCGGGTCAAGTGGACTCTAGCCTGGAAAGCGAGATGGCCTAACAACAGGAAGTCTTGTAGTCAGTGATTTCGTTTTCCGCTACCAAGCTAACTTTTACCAACCGCGAGGCTTGTGCCACCTTACGTCTGGTTAAGAAAATGAAGCCCTCATCGGTAAGTGGTGTGTGGACATGCATAGTACGTGCTCATACCGACGCAACATATCTAGTGCTGTCTGTAGTTCTAAGGCACGCATGATTATCAATGCTTACCACTCAACTACGCACATCATTGCTGCGGACACGTTGGTGCCACCCGACACCAGAAATACGTCACAGGCAACGACAATCAAAGACTTGGAGGCGCCTCAGATCTTCAGACCGAAGGGGCCAGGTATAAATCCCAAAGCAGGACGGCCCTCAATGTGGCCTTGTAAACACGGCCATTCAGAGCGAGGAAAACATCCTTACGACGCCACAGATGTCGCAGACCCAAAAAAGCAGTGTTACCTTCCGAAATACGTGAAGCGACTTCGCTCGTTATGCGCCAATCGCGGCTGAAGCAGCTGCCAAGAAAAGTGAATTGATAAAATACGTGGGTGGGGCAAAGCGTTTTCAGCCCAACATAGAAAGAAAGCAAGTGTACAAATCACACTTCATATATATATATATATATATATATATATATATATATATATACGGTTGGCGCCATCCGGTGCCGGATTTGCCTGTCACTGTGGTCAGGGACAGGACGCCAACGCCTACAGAGGGACCATGGGTGGATTGCGCTGCATCACCCACAGCTTCAACCACACACCCCATATGCAGTGTAAACCCAAAGGAATAAGACCGGGAGGCATGTGGATGGGAGCCACGTTTCATCAACGGAGCCGGTCCACACTCCTTCACAGGCAAACACAAGCTCGTTGTATTTGGGGAATCAAGCGCACACAAGGCGGTGGCTGGACCGTAGTCCGCTCCACAATGAGTGCATGGAACCACTCTTTGATCCTAACACGGCCACAAGGACCGTGCACCTCGTCCTCTCCAGCAATGACCAACTGTCTCCTAGGGCCAGAATGTACGAGGTAGTGGGTAATAGACAGGTAGGCAACTTGTTAACATGCACATCAACCGCAGTCACACCGGGAATGTCAAGCAACAGCCAATCACTTGAGAGAAAGATAACCAAGAAAATAAATCGAGTAATGCATAAGGAAACGTGACAAAAATCCTAAATTAATGAGCATATGAAATAAATTGTTAACAAAGGATCCGAGATAAGATCAGGGGGTCAGAAAGTATGTTTTACGGAAATGACACAAACGCGAAAATGTTTTCGAAATTAACTACAATTGGCTTAAGCGAGTTGTGCAGGTTATAGAAGAGCGTACAGGTAGACATTTATAAGAGAAAGAAAAGCATTAAGGCACAATTGAAAATCCACCACCTAAATTAAAGAGACTTAGCATGCAAGCACGCGGTTAGGAAATCGAATGCAGCGTACCTACATACGTTGCGCTGGTTCTGCCTACGTTCTCTGCAGGACCCGTCGTTGCTTCGATAGTGGTCCCGATTGGCCTCGCTCATGGCTCACTAAGCCTGCCTGACTAAGGCACTCGCGATCGCATGTTCTGCAACACCATGCGCTTGATGTCGAGGAAGAACAACCCATCGGTGCTTGCCGCTTCCGCAATTTCCGCTTCTTCTCTGAATGCATGAGGGCTTTCTCCTGCACCTCTGCAACTGCCTTCGTGATCAGATCGCGCCATGCAGGCCCATCAACCGCCTTCAATTCCCATGATCTGCAATCAAGATTAGAACGTGTGAGCCTCACTTTAATCATGTCCTGGTAACGTAACTTTGGTTTCCCCACGTGCCGCTTCCCAATACTTAGCTGACCATATAATAGCTGCTTCGGTATCCGCGTCGAATCCATACGGCTCACATGACTGATCCACCTCAGGTGTCTCAGTAAAAGTATGCAGTCCACTGCATACATCCCATTTATGCGCAACACTTCCGTGTCTGCAACTCTGGCGCCCCAGCCGATGCGCAAAATCCGTCGCAAGCACTGCTGATGAAACCGCTCGAGATATCGCACATCCCGACGGTACATCGTCCACGTTTCACTGCCGTATAGAAGAACGGACAGCACCATGGATTTGTACACCATCAACTTCGTGCCAATGCTAAGCTGATGGTTGTTCCACACTCGGTACTCCAGCTTTCCGAATGCCGCCGCTGCCTTCGACACGCGGATACGCAACTCACTCCCAAGGTAGCAAAAGCGGGAGGTGGTTTCTAATACTTTAGCACCAATGCTGATTCGCGGCAATATTGAAGATTGCTCTTCCGGTGAAGGCTGAAAGAGACAGACAGTTTTAATTGTTTTGATGGTGAGCCCGAATTTGGCCGCTGTCGAAGGCAAAGCACTAGTCATGTGCTGCAACTCATCCGCGCTGTGTGTAAACAACGCACAGTCGTCAGCAAACAGCAACATACGGATAGTTGCCTCACAGACTAGAGTTCTCGCACCGAAACGACGGATGTTCGGCAACCCACCATCAATACGGTGCTCCACACGAACACCGTAAGCACAAGCGGCATCAAAAGCACAGGACAACATTGCACGAAGATATATATTAAACAGGGCAGGAGCTAAGACACAGCCTTGCTTCACACCAGTGACAACTGCAAAGTCATCCGAGGTCTCTCCACTCAGCTTCACCCTCGCTCGCATACCACTGTGCAGACATTCAATTAAACTTACAAACTTACGCGGGCAACCAAACTTACCCAACACCAGCCACAAGGCCTCGCGGTTCACCGTATCAAATGCCTTGGTGAAATCAACAAAAAGCGAGTACTATGGCTGGTGTCGTTCTCTGCACTTCTCTTGCAACTGACGCGCCGCAAACACCATATCTATAATGCTGCGACCCGAACTTAATCCGCATTGCTCTTCCGCCACGTTCGGTTCCACAACCTGACTGACGAGGCGGTTGAGCAGGATTCGGGCAACCACCTTGCCCACACAACTCAGCAAGTTGATGCCACGATAATTCGTGCAACATTGCTTGCTACCTTTGCCCTTGTACAGTGGTAGCACAAGGGCATCCTTCAGCTCAGCAGGCACCTCCTCCTCAATCCACACGCGTTGCACAAAGTGGTGCAGCGCAGTCAACAAAGCGGGTCCGCTGTGTTTCAATACTTCAGGCGGGATCCCGTCGGTCCCTTCACGCTTGCCGTTTCACAGCTGAGCAAGTGCTCTTTGCGTCTCATCCAGTGTTGGCGTGTCCGCCAGACTCGTCTTA